AAAAGTAATTATTATTTAAATAACCCAACCAAGCGGCACCTCCAAATGCGACAACTTGAACGACAATCGCTGGCTTTATACCAAAAATGAGTTCGTCTATGATCAAGGGATAAACGCATTTATATACTAATGCCGGTTTATATGGATGTATTTATGGCTGTTTGCTGTTCTCATAAATAAATAGGATGTGTCCTTGCATCAATATGCTGCATGTACATATACACATACACTGTGGGCGCAGTGTCGATGGCTTGCCAAAAGGATTAAGTTAAGAAAATACGCGAAATTGAATTCCCTGTCATCGCAGCCCCCATCCCTTACATTCGCACAAACACACGCACATGTTTTATAACTTGTTGAAGGAAATGAAATTGCCATTAAGGGCGAGTGAGTACTCGTCAGTAAAAACCAGAAGAGTGCCTTATTGCCAAATACCCTATAAAAACATACATCCCTTGCAACACTATGTACCTGAATTGTGTTGATGAATAGTTACATCCACTTTGTTAGAACATAAGTAGACGTTAGATTGTGATTACAATACCAAGTCTAGATATATATAAAGTTTCATTGCAATACGAGTATATCAGTCAACATTTGTCATTTCTTCGCACTTATTCACAAAGCGCCTTCAATACTTGTTCTATCTGCCCTTTGTCTCCAAGGGAAGCCATCTCTGAAGTTGGCACGTTTTGTATACAACAAAAATAAATAAAATAAAAACTAAACTCAGATGGGTTTTATTTGAATACCCTTAACACTTAGAATATGAGTAAAAGGGTTTAATGGTTTTGTGCAAATATATGTAACATGCTTTAATTAATAACGTTTTACATTTCGACCGATCGTTTCTATGGCAGCTATATGATAAAGTAGTCCGTTATAAATAAGATTTTGCATAGATATAGGGAACATAGTGAAACCTATAAATGCTGTTTGATCAAGACAAGATAAAAAAAAAAATTTTTCATACATTAACCTATTTTTTGACCGATCGTTCTTATGGCAGCTATATGAAAAAGTGTTCCGATCCAGCCGGTTCCGACATATTTAATGCGTGCAATGTTTCATGACGTTAGCTTTAAAACAAAGAGACTAGTTCGTATAGAAACAGACAGACGGACATTGCTTTATCGACGCGGTGGATGATACTCGTCAAAAATATATAGGCTTTATGTATTCAGAGACGTCTCCTTCTTTGCGTTACACATTTCACCACAAAATTATAATACCCTCTGCCAAGGTATAAAAAACGAAGTAGATATAGTATATACTTTCCATCGTATGACGAAAAAGTACAGCCGCTGCACAAGTACGCAGCATGTGTGCGCTCGGAAGGGTATTTCTCAGTCGAGCCCTCCCAAACAGCGCACTCTTATACGATTTCGCATTTCTTACTCGTGTGTGGGCAATCCCCCGCCGGACTACGCACCTGAGTATATGTATGCGAGTGTATGTGTGTGGTTGTGTTCATACATAAGGTGCTCAGTGTTATTAGAATTATATGGATTACTAAGCCGCTCTCAAGATATTCGGCTTTGATTTCAGTTCGGTTTGGAACCGAGCGGATCGCTTTCATTTTCAGTCCAGTCCAGTATTTCAGACATATGTATGTACATACATATGTTTGTATGCACACACGCACACATACACATGTATATACATAGCAGTTTGCTAGAACAGTTGGTCGGCGACATTTTCGTTTTGGCATTTCGCATGCAATATGCGGTTCATTGATTCGGAAGTTTTCCCATTTAACTTAAGCCTCTTTAACAATCCTATTGACGCAAATTTCTACTTACCGTTACCGTTGCAGGGCACTTGCCCCCTGCTGCAGACGCACAGGTACAGGTGCAGGTCCAGCTGCAGATGCCCATCATGTAGTTATTATTTTTCACCACAGCCAGATTTCATTACACGGCCCACCTCAAAAATTGACATTAACGCCTGCTTTATTCAACACCGATTGAACTTGGTTAAAGCTTGGTCAAGTATCAGTTATGTATGTATGCATATGTGTATTTAGCTAGAATTTGGTATATGTATAATCTCAATAGCGGCGACCGAAGATGTTGCTCATGTTAGACGGCTTTATTATCCTCACACACACAAGCAACAACTATAACTAAGCGTAATGTTGTATTATGGCGTATTCAACTTGACGTTACCTAGTAGGCCAGTCATTTACCAAGACATTCTACATTATCTTATTAAATATATTCGCGGTCGACGCGCAAAACTGAAGCGTTAGTGTGGCCAGCTGCCGCTTTTAAAAAAGGTCAATAAACAGGGTTGCTAGTACATGTCATTTAAATACATTACTATTAATTCATAAAAACTCGACTGCTTAAATTTCTTCGGAGAAAACTGGTATGCGAAATCAAATTCAAATCTAAATCAGGCCATCGTACAAATTTTGTATTAAAGAGCTGTGAACAGAAGATAGGCGATATCCAAATCATGCCAAAGCAAGGCTCAAGAGTATACTTATAAATCGAACTATCGATAATTACAGTATTGTCAACAATCCACTACCAAGGTTATTAAAATTTATGATTGACATATTAAACGTATTAAAAACTCCTTTTATACTCATTTAGCGGTGCAGGGTATAAGTAGTGTTTGGCCGCCGATGACAGCGGCAGCTTTAACCAGTAGCATCCATAAAACAACAACAACTATAAGAGCAAACAGCAACAAACATGTCAGAGAATTACCCTAAAGCAGCCACCCACACGCCTACCCACACACACACACACAGATTCAGCCACGTACACAAAAGCTGAACAGACTGAAGCCGTAAACCAAAATGCCGTCCAAAAGACAGGTGCAATGTGCAATCTTTTGGTATTTTGTTGGCTTTGCACATTTGGCGTAATGCCAAAAATACAAAAAAAAATAAAAAAAAAAAAGATAGAAAAAATAATGGGAAGGGAAAGAAAGCAAAGCAAAATACAAGTGCGGCAAAAGCAAAGACAAGTACAATGAAAATTCAACACCTGAAAAATGCAAACACTTAAAAGACGTCCCGCCAACGACGACGTCAAGAAGCAAACCCGACGTGGTCGACAAGGACGCAGGCAATATCGATGCGCCAGCACTTCACCACTGATGAGGGCGATGACGAGGAGGGACGCGCAGATGGAGACGGAGACAGAGACGGAGTTCGGCGCTCGGAGCTGCTGAGCCTTGGCCTGAGCTCCGCTACAAAAGCAGCAAGGACGTGCATTCATTCAAATCGACTCCAGCTCGAGTCTCACCGTTTCGAAGCACAACGCATACAAAAGAAATTCATTTTAATGCACAGCCGGCACAGGCGGCCCAAGCAGTTGCTGAGACAGGAAACCATTGCCAGTGAGGTCGTGGCCGGGGTCGGACTCGGAATTGGAGTCGTAGCCGGAGTCGGTGTCGAGGTCTGCGTGCGCCTAAACGCGGCAAATGCTTTATTCTCCGCGCTTGTTGAATTTAAGCGGCCAAAGCGCATTGCTGCAACTGGATCTGGCGCTGGAGCTGGAGCTGGAGACTGTGGGCGGCCAAGTGGCAAGTCAAGCCAAGTTGAGTCTATAATTTTTGTTGTGGTTCCTGTCTATTGTCTTTACGCTGCTTTCGCCACCCTGCGCCCAATTTTCTGTCCTCGCCGCGACCGAGTCTTTCGTTTGCAATATTTAAAGTAGACATTAGCTGACTCGCAGATTTGAATTAAACGACGCCTTTAAAATCACACTTAACGGAATGAGTATGGCTTGAATTTGAATTAACACTTAGATGAATATATGTATTCATGACTGCCCCTTAGTAATTTATGCTGCCTTTAGAATAGATTGTAGGAAATACCGATTATTTAATAATTGTTATTTCGGGACATGCCTAACTGTTCTGTGTTGATATGCGTGATCACGCTCGTGATCGCTATAAAAGTGTTGAAAAGTGCCCAAATGTTTTCTAGCCATAAACGAAGAATTTCTAAACAGAAGTTACCTAGATCATTCATTCATTCAATAACATTCCCAAAAGTAAATGCACAAGGCAATGCATAATAATATTATAAAAACATTTAATAACTTCATTCAAATTAAGTCGTTAAATCAATCAATTTGCAATACACACATTAATAAAAAATTAAAGAATTAAAAAAATTGTAGTAGATAATTTGGCAAGCAAACAAGAAGTTTTTATAATACCCCACAATTTAAGCAACTAAACTTATGGCCTTTACCCAAATTGTAAAATAAATTGAAAGTAACAGAAGCCTCTGATGCATAGCAACGTTAACGGCTAAACGCCGACTGGCCGTATCTTAACAGTTATCGGAGCACAATTATGCTGAAAGCTCTTGGCTGTTTTGAGTGAAAGCTCTCGAAATACCACTCAAAGCCATGGCGCATGTGCCCAATTGTGCGAGCAGCTCAAAATTTGTGGGTGGCGCCAATTTTTGCTCAACATTTTTTTTATTACTAACTTTCGTTCGTACTGGCTGTCGTGTCGGTAGGTTACCTTTGTTAATTGTCGTCCCAACTCCAATCTGGCTTCGGGTCGACTTTCAGCGGCATTCGTCTTACAACAGAACTGACAAATCAGTACCTAGCCGAACCTCTGATTAAGAGCAATGGTAAAAAGACGAACTTGGTCATTTTTTTTAAATTTTACCACAAACTGAATTCTAGTACTGTATATATGCAAGCACCTAAAAATTTTTGGCAGAGATAAAACTCTATCAGCAGATGCTTCAAGCATTTCGACTACGCCATTACTAAACTACAAAGTTATTTTTAAATATGTATGGAAAATTGCAAATATCAACATTTTGAATATACCCGCCGTTTAGGTATAGCAGCTGTTTAGCAGGGACAACAATCATTTAGCGAGGTCACACTTCTACACCCAAGCGCAGTGTTGCCTTCCGACATATCGATAACATTGCCATCGATGCACTTTCTTACATCCCTACGCAAAAATAAACAGCACGAAAAAAAAACTACAACAAAAACAAAAGGCAACACAAACTGAAAGCGATAAACTGCAACAAAAACAAATTATATATTTGCGTAAAATACGAATATAAAATGGTAATTAGAAAAAAGTAAATTCACTAACAATTGGCAACATTTCGAGAAAATATTTTGTGGATCTGACGCAATTATGCAAGTTGCAACTTCGGCAACAACTAACTGTACTTGGTGGTAGGCCTCCTGTTGTGGTGGTTGCGCAGAGACTCCACAAATCGGCGATGCTAAGCGCTTCGAAGTTTTAAAAATCACAGTCGAATCAGCAGCTGTGAGTAAAACTGTCAAAATAATCCGAATTCAATATTCTGAATTAAGCTCTGACTGAATTTCTTTCGAATTCACAGCAATGAATACCAAACATTCCGAACCATTCTATATCTCATCCAATTTGTTTGACAACAGGCGCCTTAAGCGCCGCCTGAGCAAATGGATGGAACGCCTGCGGGAACGGCAACAGCTCTACATGGCGCCTGCCTCCAAGACTGAACGTTGCCATCTAATGTTATCGCGACGTCACGTGGCTGCTGCACTGCCCGCGGACATCACAATTGATCTGCTGTCGGATGATGATGATGATGACGACGAAGCGCCTGACTTATCAGTGGCCAACGGACATCATCTACCATCTAGGCCTATGCCTGGCAGCTTGCAACTATCGACGATGCCGAACATAAGCCTAGTGCCGGTTGAGTTGGCGCCGGCGCAAAGCTCTACCATGCTGCTGATGCCAGCTGCTAGAAGTCGGGGTGGTGATGACAAATTGTATCGGCCTCGAAAACGTTATGCAGATGTCACCTCCACAACGGCAACCACATTTTCCGACAGCATTGTGCTCACCAGTGACGACGAGAACGGCACGCTGAATTATGGCAGCCGTCAATTGATGCGCTCGCCGCCACCATTGGCGCCGCTCACATTTTCCGATAACATGGAAGAGGTGACTGTGTCGTTGGTTCCCCGGACTTCAACTACTGCCAACTGTCAAGCGCGCCAGAGACGCCGTCAGCCACGAGACGCATCGTTTAGTCATCCAAACAGTTGCAGCACGCCCAGCAACGCCACAAACCACTTCGATGGTTTCCTAAATGTGGATGTGGGCAGCGATGTGACGGCTACACTACCGGATGAAACCACCGTGCACACGGTCATCGCCAATCGCATCTACGAGCTGTCGCTAAGCAAGCTGCGTGAAGGACTCGCCTCCAGTGGCGTGCCGGAATACGCACACGATCTGCTGCCGGAACAGCTGCAAAAGCTGTCGCCGGCGATGCGTGCCAAGGTAGCGCCAATGGTGGCACCGTCGCCTCCGGCGCCCATTTCGCTTAAGCTTTCCAGCGACCTAAGCATATCATTGATCTCAGACGACGACGAGTGTGATGGTGGAAATGCTGGCGGCGGCGGCGGTTGCAAGAGCATAGATGTGCTGCATCCCGTGGTAGCGGCCGAGGCACATGCTGCCGCCAAGCTACTGAAACAGCAACAGCCACAATTGTCTGTTGTGCAGCATCTACAGTATCCCGGCCATGGCTCACCCGTAGCTCTGCCGGTCGTAGCGCCACCGACTTTGACAGGGCCACAGTCGACTAGGCGTCGCAAACTAGGTTAAAGTTCTTGGAACGCCACAAAATCATTCCCCGACCCGAACACTTGCATCCCCACCCTTGCCCCACATACAAAACAAATGTAGCGGTCCAGAATTTTTCTCTAACTAGCCTCTAGTGCAAATATATAACATATTTACATAGATATGTAGTTCCGATTCTTTGCAGTTTCAGCAGTTCCGAGCATGGTGCAGATTGTGTTTCTCTTTCGTACTCGCTTGTGTCTGCCATCTCCCATCTCTCTCATACTTTAAGCCTTTTTGAACGTACAAAATCGGGCAGAAAAAGTCTGCAAAGCTTACAAAAAACAGTAAACCTATAAAGAATAATAGAAATATATTTATGCGAACGGGATACACAATATTTATGTAATATAATTATAGACAAAAAGTAGAATTATATTTGTATACGAAAACTATACAACTGTTATCTGTACAATTTGTATTCGTTTGGACAGTTTTATGTAAATATTAAATATATCAATTGTCATTGTGCTACTTGTCTACATTTTTTAATAGAAAGACCCCGGATCTCGATGATCTTATCCTCTCTATGTGAATGCTATAAAATGCTATTGATATAAAATTTTTCGGGCTTTAAGCGAACAACATTACATTTTGTATAGAGCATAATATTTGTGTGTGATCTTGGAAATATTTATGATGAATTTTCAATTTGACCAACATGTAGGGTCCTCAACCCTAAACTTATTTTATGCTAATTTATAAATAGTGAATGTATGAGTGCTCTGAACTCTGTAGTACTCTTTCTCAACCCTATTCGTAACCGCATTTTATGGATGTAAATTAAACGAGGAGAAAAATTCAAAGCTGATGCTTTTGGCCTGAAAATCCTAATGGAAAACAAAATAATTTTATTTATTTATACTTTTTTATTGATTTATGCTTTAAGAGTCATACCATGTAACCACAAATTGGATTGTTAAAGCCATATACTTAAGTTAAAATCTATGTAGGCGGATGAAGAAGGCATATTCTATTTTAATAACTATATAAATTATTTAATAGAATCAATTAATGTCTGTTTATGTGCTTGATCGCGGAGACTATAAGAAGTGGTTCTTATGTTTAAAGCCTGTTTTCTTATTTTGGGATAAAACAATATTTTGCAAAGTTATGTTCATGGGTTGTATTTATTCCTGAAGGCCTATTAACCCAAAATGTTCAAAATGTATACCGAATTCGTATAATTTAAGCTGCAATCGCATTGTGTATAATAATATCTCAATAGAGAAGGCAAAATTAGAGGCTGATTTGAAAAATTGTAACATTAATTAAATATTTTTTTATTTGCTATGCGAGCAATGTCTAGAGCAATCGCAAGCAAAGTTTTTTAGCAAATGAAAAATAGACTGTTGCATTAAGTTAATAATTATTTTATCTGTCAAAATTTATATTTTAGTGCGAATTTGTTTCTTTATTCGTTCGCTGATTGCGTTTTGTCGGCGCTTATCGTTGAAAGCTTTGAATTTCTTTTTGCAAATTGGCCACACCGGCGCAATTGGCCAACGCATGCGCCATAAAATTATCCCGCGTACCTTTTAGGGCGGAAACGTATTCTGATATACCAGAAATAATTTTGCTGTTGAGTGTTAAAACGTATCGAACGGGTTTTAAACGCGGTCAATTACGACGGCTGCGATTAGCGCGAGATGAGTTAAAACATCATTAAATCTCGAGATCTAACTGGCAAAGTGCATAATTATCAATTATACGTTAAGCAACAAAAACAGGCCCGGTCATGCTACTGGTACAACATATTTTTCATTTACTCGCATCTGGCTCACAGCAGTACATATGTATGTACTTATACTTCAATTTCCTTGCCCTTATTCGTATGAATAAAGCATCATATAAGAATTATAATTGTTAAACATAATTAGATGCATATCTACATAGTGCAGTCAGCATCAAACAATTTCTAGATGGTAAATACTGTCATTCGTATACATATATGCGCATACATACATACATATATCATTGTACCCTCAATTCAGACGTATGTATGTATGCATCTATGCATATTCATATGTAAATACAGCTGCAATGTCCTTTCAAATGCCACTACACTAAGATATTTTGATATCCAAACTGATTTAAATACTGTGCGGTATTTCCGAAATATTTATTTTGAAGCTTGCATGTACGTATGTATGTACATACATGTGAACATATATATGTATATATATATATATATATATATATATATATATATATGTATGTAGGCCCCGAAAGGAACACAAAGTATTCGTACTTTTTCGGCGGTTATTGATGCTTGCCATTTTCCACCACACCCACATACACTCTATACATACATACATATGTACACTAAATACCTACACATGCTTGCTCATGAGTGCTTTTGCATTTATAAGTAGTGTCAAATATATGGTTATGTTCGATGGGATGTGTGTATGTACATGCAAGCAGATATAAAATTATTACACAAATTCACATATGTATGTAACTGCATGCGAGCATACACATATTTGTATGTTTATGAATATTCGTGCCGGCACAAAATGTAAATAAAGTTAAAATGAAACATACATATGTATGTATACACCTCTGCATGTGTATGTGCGTACATAATTGGAGTGCAATTTTAATAGAATACATAAACATATACAAACACACACATACATATACTTATTTAACACGCTTTATACTTAAGTATTTACATATTAAAGATTCGGATTGTATCTTTACACATACATATTTATGTATCCATATTAATTTTCCACTTAAGTGAATGTACATATGTGAATAATACGTATTTTGACTTTTTTGGTTTCTTGTTACAGTGCACAAATCTTGCGCGTAATAATTTATAAGCCAAATACAATTAACTATTAAACAAACAGCTAGTAAATCGGCAAAATGTTGATTCGTTGGAAGAGCAAAGATAAAAGTGCATCAACTAATCAAAGTGGCAGTGCGAACAGCAGCTCATCGTCGAAAAAGAAACGCAAAGGACGAGAAGGAGGTAATTGCAACGAATTGCTTATAATATAAAATAAAAGAGAGGCAAGCAAAATAATTGCACATACAAATGCAAATGCTCATACATATATAAATATATATGTATTTAAACTTATACATATATATATATATATATATATATATATATATATATATATATATATATATATATATATATATATATATATATATATATATATATATATATATATATTTAATGTATGCTATTTAAAAAAAACCGGGTCTGGCAAAATATGTACATACATTGGAACTTGCAGGCATTGCAATAATCGATATCAATTATCAACTATCGATAACGAGTGCGCTCGATTGCTTATTGTCTTTCCGTTTTATTAACGCATATTTGGCTACATTTTCAGAAGAAGACTGGCAAAATGAGAACAAACCGGGCCGCTTGCCGACTAACGATCAAGGTAAATAATAACCCAAATATGAATACATCGGCAGCACCATTATTTAATGCACGCTCTAATTGGTTTTTCCGTATTCATTTAAAGGAGGCGACGAGCGCAGACGCGCAATGCGCCGCGACGATCCACGGCGCCACACACTTGGTGGCGACATTTTAGTCTATGGCAGTTCTCAACATCCTCACGCACATCAAATGCCACAACAGCAACGTGCCATGGACCTGGAAGTAAGCAAGGAACCAGCATCCAGACGAAATCCAATTGCAACACTTTTCGTACTTTTTGTTGCAGATGAGTACACGAGCGCTAAAGAACAAGAAGAATCAGCCAATGCGCGGCTATGCACCCGTTAATCAGGGTCCATTGTTCGACGATGACCCCGGCATTATGTCCGAGGTGGAAACTGCTAGCACTGGCTTTCGGCGCGGCGGTAAACAGCGCTCATCTTTGCCAGTAGTGCGCACACCCTCCAAGACACTGGAGAGACCGCTGGGGCTTGTATTCTTACAATACCGATCAGAAACAAAGCGAGCACTACTCCCAAATGAAATTACGTCGATAGACACGGTGAGGGCGTTGTTTGTGCGCTCGTTTCCCCGTCAGTTGACCATGTCATACTTGGAAGGACCGAACGTTAAGATATACATTCATGATGCCAGCAAGGACATGTTCTATGAATTGGAAGATGTGCGTTCTCATCTGCGCGAAATACGTGATCGCTCGGTGCTGCGTCTCTTCGAGTCCACAGAGGTAGCCGCTCCGCCTCAGATTTTGCCAGGTGGTCCCGGCATACCACAGCCACTGCCCCAGGCACCATCTAGCTGGGATCAGGATCAGAGCTACTTCAGTGAGCCAGAATTCGATTCAGACTTTAAGCACCAGCACATCCACAAGTCCAAGGTAAGACGCTTTTCAAATTAAGGCTGAAAACCAATTTATAAACAAACCAGCTCCATTTTATTTGAACCATATGAACCGAACCTTATACTTGGGCCCCAACCATTGGATTTATCTGACCATATTTTGCAAATGCCGATTTTAGATAGAGTTCATATTTATATAGTGTGTGTGACATGCATTGATTTTAGTAGAAAAAGTAATTCTAAATCTAATGTTTTGGGTATCAAGGGTTTATTGATAGGGAAAGCAGGCTCAAAACTGAAAACATTTTTTACTTTTGGGGGCTAGTATCCCCGATTTAATTGTCAATGGTTTCGTCGGTTTTATGAACAACTTTTTCAAGACCGTGGATACCCATCGTGATATATATTTATATAAATATATGCATATATACATAGAGGTGAGGATTTTGTTATAAAGTCGGTTGCCCTGCTTTAGTACGTATGTACATACATATGTCTAGCCGTTAATATGTCTATGTACGTACATACGTGGATGCTTATTTACTTATGTACACATACATATATTCACGCACAAAAAAAAAAAAAACAAAATAACATATGTAATTATGTACAATAAGCGTTATATGCACCACTTTGCTCCTTGCTGCTTAAATGTATTTAGCCCTCGGGCTATTTTCTGACTGGTAGAGGCAGCTAGAAATTGCCGCAGGTGCCCACACTGAGACCCTTGAGCGTGTTGTTCATGTGCTCCTCCACGTTCTTCCAGGCGAACACAATTGCACCCTGAAAAGGCTCTGGGTCGCAGTTGCTGCAGATGCCCATAACTGCCTTGACTTCCTCTTCGGCAGGCTCGCGGTCGTGTGAACTGATTTCCTCCTCAAGTGTCATTTTCAACGTCAAATCCTGTTTGAACTGCTGACCTCCAAAGTCGGCAAGACCGTTGTATTTGCTAAATGCCTCGTTGCTGGTGCCCAAACCATCATCCACAACAGAACCATCGTCCAGTAACACCAGGCCTCGTTTCCGCAGCTTCTTATCATTAGTTGGAGTTCTTTGCGTTGTCGCATCCGCATTCGCCGCGTGTCGCTTGAACTGTATATGCGTCTCTGTCTCATCTATGAACTGCACATTGGCCGAGTTGCTGAGCATCTGGAACCGACCTGCCTCACTTGCGGGTATGGGCGGCGAGCTAGGTCGGCTTTGGGGTATGGGCGAAATACCAAGCAACTGCTGGGCCACCAATCGAGAACCAGCGTTAATCTGACCGTTGACAAAATTCGTGTTGACGGTTATTGCTTGTTGTTGAGGCTGGAATTCAGCACCGTTGCCACCGCCGCCGGGCGGTTTTTGCGTTGGCCCTGACCCGGCCAGATTGATGCGCACTCTAGTGGGGATTTGGCCGCTGGCGAGCAGCGAGTGCATGGGCTGAGGTCGATTAATCTGAATTAAATCATGAAAGGATTAGACGTCGTCCGATAGGGGAGCACAACCATTAAATACTAACCATTGGCGGCGCACGCGCTGTGCTGGACACCTCCTGACCATCGTGGTCGACATGGTGCACATGGTGGTGTTTGTGATCCCGATGTGCCTTGCCCGCGCTCAAGGCTACGCGATAAATTTGCACAAGGGTAACCTCGAAATGCAGACCGTGGCTCACCTCACCGGTAACTGAGCTGCCGCCTGATCGCAGTATTCCTTTTGCAGGTATTTTATGGCCCACTAGCTGTAAAATCATTGACACTCTACATAATTCGATTTTAAAATATTACAAAATTATTTTAAACATAATTAAACATGCAACAGCTGTAGGCTCTTTAATGCGGCTAAACTGCTACCTTACTTGACTGAGAAATGCCTCTTTCTGTTGCACGCAGTACATATTTCGGGGCCGGCTGCATCGGAATACTATATCTTATAGCTGCCATAGGAACGATCGGTCAAAAAGTAGGTTATTGTATGACAAACTTATTTGTTTCTCTAGATATCTTGACCAAACTCGGCAATTAGTAGTTTTACTATGCTTTTCATATATATGCAAAATTCTATTAACATCGGATCACTAAATCATATAGCTGCCATAGGAACGATCGGTCGAAATAAAGTTGTTGTATGGAAAACTTTTTTTTACATATTTTGACTACACTCGATATTTAGAGATTTCACTATGTTTTCTACATTTATGTCAAATCTCATTTGCATCGAACCAATATATCAAATAGCTGCTATAGGAACGTTTTTCAAGGTTATATCATATATATACCATAACTTGCGCAAATGTTAAACTAAAGCTAACTCTACCTCCTACAAGCAAGTTTAAACTATTCTTGAAAAGAATTTTGGTTAATACAAAAATTTCGATTTTCCTCGAATAATTTTCGACGATTCATACAGATACATAAAATTCGCGCCAAACAAGCTGTGAAGAACATAATTTTTTATTTGCCATAATTAGGCAGCTTTGTGATATTATAAGTATATATGTATATATGGGCACGGTGCACATTGTGAGAAAACTGATATTTAATATCTCAGCAATGGCATAATTCAAATATGGCTGGTAACCAATTGCCGCAATTTGTGTCGCCGTCTGTAGGCAGTTTTCGTTTAGCGGCTTGGTTAATATTGTTTCCGCTGCTCGAATTAAATGCGTAATTTGAGAGTGGCGCCCAGTTTGAGCTGGACTCGTTACTCACCGAATTGTGGAAGCCACGCCCAATACGTTCTGCCTTAAGCCAGACTTGCCACTCGCCGGTCTTTCCATTCCACGAGCTGCACATGTGATGCCATTGCCGCATACGCAGCGGGTAATTCAATCTAAACCAAAATCAGGTGAACGCCACAGAAAAGAAAAAAGAGAGAACAGCCCAATATTATAAACCTACTCATGAATGGGAAGGTATGCAGTTTGAATGATTGAAATGAATTAAAACGTACCTGTACATTTGCTGACCTTTTATGGCCATCGATAGGAAACTGGAATTTTGCGCATTCGCGACCCAGATTTGTATTTCGCGTGGTTCCTTTTCCACTGTAGAAGTGAGACAGCGTTAATTGGCTGTTATGAAATCAGAGCAAATTGCGTGATGCTGCTCTGTTGCAACTACGAGCTCAGCTAATTAGCTGATATCAAAAAAGTGAAAGATACTTGATAGCTGAATGGTGCACGAGAATCTACTTTTTAATTTATGAAGTTTAGTCTGAGAATTTTATATAAATAATGCTAAGGTACCGATACTGTTTGGATTTGCGCTAACTACAGGCAGATGCAGGCCAAAGCTACATATTTTCAAGGAAAAATAAGTTAACAAAATATGTTGACTTCTGTGTTTAAGGGGCTACAATTCCCAAACTAATTGAGTGATATTCAAAAAGTGAGAGATACTTGATATCTGAATGGTGCATGAGAATCTACATTTTCATATGTGGAAGTCTAGTTTATATAGTCTGAGATTTTTTGATCAGTTCGTTGTCTGGACCAAGCATATATATAAGAACTTTACCCCTCTTATTATCTCTTTTATTATCTACTAGAAGAAATTACCCATACATAATGTTAAATGTACAAATGGTACCCAAATTGTTTGGATAATTCGCACCAGCTATAACGAACATAGGGACATATTTTCCAAAAATATGTTGACTTCTGTCTATGATTCCGAAACTTCGTGCTCAGTGTGCAAAGAATAATTGTAGTTGGAAAAATGAAAAAGAAAAAAAAAAACCATTGTAAATTTTATGGCACACCTGAGCTGCGTTTTTGATGTTTTACAAACTTTGGCTACTATTTTCAACACTTGAAGCTTAAGTATTCCAATGCCCGTTTTAGTTTTAGCTCACTTTCGACCCTTAAATTGACTGTTTGTCAGTCTGATTTAACCCTCCGATGACCGGCTAAATACACATTTATCTATCTATCTATCTTTCTTTCATTTGCCACTCGCCTATGATGCCAGAGTATTAAGCGGGAAATATAGAGAAATCATGTTAACATACGAGGTGCAATGCAATGTCTTATGGCAGAGTAGACTATCGTCGACCAGTTTAGTTGGCTCAGCTTTGCAGAGTAAATGTGTTTGAGTGCAGGTTTAGTGGAAGGTGTTGTCTCGGGTCAAGACGGCATCTGTCCAGGTTCCGGAAGCTTTTCACGCAGCTCAAATTGCATATTTAAAATAATCTCAAACAGTTAAAATAACAAAAGCAGGCGGTAGCAGCAGCCGCTTACTGCAAACAGGTAAATTTAGCGCTTATGTAATGTGGTATCTCAAGCGACGATGCCGTCGTTGTGGGGAAGTTGGAAATAGTTGGAAGATAAAAAGCAAAGAGTAGTCAAATCATCTCTAAGATACTTGGTATAATAAAATAAATGACCGTATTTTCGCGTCATTGTCGACCCGTATCTGCGTCTGTGTCTGTGTTGACCATCAAAAAATGTGTTAAGCCCTGCTGTCACGCATTTATCTGTCAAATCAAACAAAAACATCAACATGATCACAAACCGTCTGCTGCATGAGATCAAAAACATTCACTCTGTCTATTCGCTGCGGTTGGCATCAGGAAGTTGGATCCCTTTCACTTTTTGGGGCCAGCTTCGAATGCTGGATCGTGGCCCACAAAAATTATGTTGGTCACAGGTCTCACAAAGCGAAGGTCTCTCAACTTGACTGAAAGGGGCATCGAAACAATTAACGTTCGTTTATGTAAAAGGTCGGTTGTGTTTGATTAAAGAAAGTATCTTCAACGGGCCGGCCCTTCTTTTTTGTATACATAATTATTTCGTCATCAAAAATCAAAAATCCCTCAGATGAACCTACCTTCGGTTGACGGCTTAAGCCCCACACTCACCTTGGTAGGTCAACATGACATGGTCGCCGCTGTGATTGGTAAAACGCATCCAGAAACATAACGTGAACTGATCCAGCTCGGGCAACTCGTTGCTGTACTCCACCGCGCCGTCCTGATTGAATGCGAATTTCTTGACACTGCAGCGATCGGAGACATAGAGTGGAGTGCGGGGAAAGCTGAGAGAAGGTTCCTCAGCAACATCATCCTTTAAGCTGTACGACTCGTAATGGTTTTCGTGATCGTCCGCCAATGTGATGGGGTGCGTGATGCCAGTTTCCACGCCATTTACGACAGCGGCGCGCGCCAGCAATAGATCGTCCTCCTCCTTTTGATCGCCACCAAATTGGGCATAGCTGGTGGCCAGCTCGTGGCTGCTGCTGGCCTCACCTGGATGCGATTGCTTGAGGCTGTAGGATGTTATGGGGCTGCCAGAGACAATAGGCTTCCAGGCGAAGGAAACGCGCGCATCGCTGAGCAATGTGATGAGCAGCAATCCCGCTCCACAGCCTGTTGGCCAAAATAATCGGTTGTGCAGCCTAGCCATATTACTTATTACCGGGGAGTACCTTTGGTTTTGGCTTTTGGAATTGTTTTGGATTTAACTTATACCGTTTTTACGTCCGTCTGCTGCGCTGTCTCGCACTTTACTGGCCGTCTACGCATGCGCCGAAGCTGTGTCGAGCGGAGCCGCATAGAAGAAGAAAAATAAAAATAAAAACAACTAAAACCGCATACAACACCGAGAGCCCGTAGCAATCCCCGAAGATTGTGCGAGTACGCCTCTCGGCCAGTTGTAACAAATTGTAAAATTGTATTGAAATTGAAACTGGTTGGCGTTTTGTTTTTGTCTGCTCCAGAGCCGAGCTTTTTATCTGACTGCAACGAATAAACCATGTCTGTGTATGCTCAAATTTATGTAAGTATGCACTCTCAAGCTTAGTTAAAACACTGACACAGCTGCCCACCTGCCCACCTGCTGCCCCTCACAGCCAGTTGAATGCGAATTATTATAAGCCAACTCTCCACTCTGCTTGTGTTATAATCACTCTAGCGGTTTCCTTTCATCATTAATAAATCAGTCAACATCCGATTGACAAATATTAAATGCTACAGCTAAGAAAATTGATCTAAAGAGAACAGTTGTCTTTACTACGCCGCAAATTAGATTCCCTCGTAGGAGGTATCTACGAATGTGTTCTAGAATTCTAATTTGAAGGAAGTTCGCAAAAAACAAATTTGTGCAGGCTGATTTAAGAAATTTTTATACAAAATTATTGTTTGTGCGTAAAGTAAAATAACTTTTCTGTTGCTTGTGGATCCTTCGATCTGTTATCGAATACCCTAACATTCTATAACTTTCATGTGATATACTATTCTTATAATGCCCTTAGATTGAAATATAAAATAAAGGTCTCGGACAAGAGAAAGCTTATCAATATCAGCTGCTGAACGAGCAGGCACGTCAATAATTGGCAAAGAGTTTGATTCACTGGGTGTGTTATTTTGTTACAACATGTGTGCATCGATTATGTTTTGTCTTGTTGGCCCAGCCCTCTGGAATTTCCAGCCAAACATTGTTGTGTGAGTATCGCGGTTAACCTAAACAGTTGACTTGAAATTGAAGTGAAACTTATTAACATTTTTGCCACTCGAATGAAGGCCAATTGCCCGTATGAAAATCTCAAGGCTGTAAACCATAATAATTTGTACTTCACTTTAGTAAATAGTTTGCAACCAGAAACTATTTATCTACATACATTGATAAATTTGTATTCATGATCGGGGGTTAGGCTTACATTTTGAACCGGCTTCCGGCTGATTGGGGCTGTAGGGTTGAGTCGCCCTTACAAGTACTTTATTTTTAGACAAGCCAGCTTTTAAAATAGATATGTTTCGGCGAAGTTGCTTTTTGGGTGACTGATTTGTTTTTTGATTCGGCTCATTATACCCTGAACCCATTAAAAATGGGTATAAGGGTATATCGTATTTGTGCAAAATCCAAATGTATGTAACAGGCAGAAGGAAGCATTTCCGACCCCATAAAGTATATATATTCTTGATCAGCATCAATAGCCGAGTCGATCTAGCCATGTCCGTCTGTCTGTCCGTCCGTCCGTCCGACCGTCCGACCGAATTATGAACGCAAGGATCTCAGAACCTATAAGAGCTAGAGACTTGAAAGTTTTTAGATGTAGATGCTCCTAGTACCTGCGCAGATCGAGTTTGTTTCCGATAATCGATAATTTACTCCGTTTCCAAGCAATCGATAAAAATCGATATCGATACCATGTTTTTTGGGAAATTTTGGTAAATAATAAGAGCTAGAGTCACCAAACTTGACATATAGCTCCTAAAATAGAATATATATATCCATTTGATGTTGGAAGAAGAGGGTTCAGGGTATTCCCTAGTCGGCAGCTCCCGACTAGAACCTCTGGTTTTAAATATAGAAAATAGTAAGGATTTTCAGATTCCAACGGGTTCGTTGCAGAACACAACGCTTCGATTCATAACCCGTATCAGTAAGTCTTTATTTATTAATAAATTGTAGTTTGTTGACTCAATTATTCATGTTCATATTATTGATTTTTTTTTCAGATTGGCAAACAACCAGCTCCATATTATGTTGGCTCCTCACAGACGCTGCCACGTGGCATGTACGCCTCAGAACGTAACAAAGTCTCGATGGGTGCGTAAAAAAGTTATTTATTAGTCTACGCTTAGCTACAGCTGTTTTTCATTCATTAGTTAATTACATGTTTTATTTGGACATATGTTTGTATTATATAATAGGTTTGCTTATTCTATACGTTATGTTTATCTCAATACCACGAAGGACTGTGTACATGCACACATACGTACTTTTAAATAGATATGAGTGTATGTGTGTCTAATTCATTAAATACTTGTAAATAAACGAGTCCGTTGAAAGTGTTGTAAATTAAGGGACCTTCCTCAACCCTTTAAAGGACATATCCCTTTGATCAGAACAACAATCTTGATAAAGAGAAGTCCGTTTGTCTGTTTTTATGAGTTTGACCAAATCTGAATAATATTCAGATGTAAATATATATTATTATAATATATATATATATATATATATATATATATATATATATATATATGTATATATATATGTATATATATATATATATATATATATATATATATAAAATATATATGTAGTTTCCGTTGGAATGTAAATAATTTGTCTGTAAGGGTTACTTAATCTTCGGCACACTAAATATTAATTGTTGTTTCTTGTGTTTTCTTTAGACTTATGTTCAATAAGTTAATTCACGTTATAACAAATATTGGGTATAAATAAAAGAGTTTGTTTTATATTCTATCTTTATAAATATGTATGAATAATAGAATACATACATATTTATACATACAATTGTTGAACATGCTTTGTTTAAAAACCCCATGCGTAAATATATTATGTATAATTAAATAAAATATGAAAGGAACGCCTGTGAAACCATTCAGATCGATTAATCGAAGGGGTAGCATGGAACCCCTGTTTCCATATTCCTCGGATCAATTATACAGTATACCAGGTACACGAATATATACCTCTTTTTCTTTACTTACGATAAGAACAAATAACTTTTTTCCATGTACATTCATATATAATATAAGTTCATGTATACAATGCATTGGTTACGCTTTTTATGGGTTCAAAAATTGAGCGTGACAGTTACAAATTAGTAAGATTTATATATTTAACTAATTCGTAAATATATTTTTTTGTTATTGTCTTGTATGAATAGTGTTTATTTTTATTTTTGTATCCTATATACTACAAAAATTAAAGTTACACACGAAAGTCGCCAACGATAGACCACTTTTAACTGAATTGATCTTGCAGACGGATATACCAGCTCTCCAGAACGGAGCGTACGTGGCAACTATGAGGAACCATACTATAGCCAGTACGGTACTCGCGGCGCTGTTGTGGCTCCCATCATTGACGAGGAACAAAGGTTAGCTATAAGATATATATATATATATGTTATCCTACTGTCCAGACTTACTGACTTGATGGAGACCAACAGCCAACTGACTCTGTTAGAGCTGGGAAGCTGCTTAAGCTTATTTTTAGACTGAAATGAGTATGAAAAACATTTAGCAAAATAGGTGTCTGAGCATCAAACTAATAAGCGAAAGGCCGTCGGTTCAAATCAAGCAGCAATTTCTATATCTGATTATTTAGTTTGTTATAAATAAATAAAGAAATGGAAAATAATCGAATGAAAGTTAACAATAATAATTATAATCAGTGTATTGAGTAGCAGAGTAGGCTTCCGTGTAGACAAAATATCTGTTTTCAATGTGCATAGCCGCGGAATGGGAGCTTGAGTGACATTCTATCAGCCTTAGGTTGGCGCTTTGCGTGACCCGGTCAATGCCGGGAGTTTATTCTAATCTATATACATATATGTATGTGCATGCATTCAGCAGTATAATCCTTCTCTTTCTACTATCTTTACAGCGATGTGGCCCTCGCGGAAGACCAGTACTCGTTGTACGGCATTAAAGTGGGCCCTAACCGTCTGCCGCATCGTGGTAATCAGATCTACGACCCAACCAGGTGAGCATAGCCCAAACGCTGGCTTCGTACAGATTCCATATAAGTCGCATAGTCCGCCAAGAGTATATTTGAGATGTGAGCTGACTTGATGCTGCGTCTACGTCTACTGCGTCTGTAAATTTTTATACGCTTCACATTCCCATTTGTATTAGTTGTAGTTGCTGTGGCCACCGGATGAAAATAGGTTGTGCCTTTGCTCTTAATGGCCTGAACTATGAGGCAAAGCAAATAGCCGCCAAACGAAAGAAAAGCCAAGGCAGTAATGCTTATTTGAAACAATGTCTGCAGCTTAGATGGCTTCTCCTCGACCCAGGAGGCTGCCGGATCACTTTGCCAGGGCTGTTGGCTGCCACCGCCCGACATGCCATGGTCACCCCTATGAAAAGATTGTGAATATGATCTGAAGAAGTGCGTTAACCGACCTACCGATCGGCAGCCATTAAAGCCATGCGCTGGGGCTCAGTCGTATTGGTGCAACTTGCAATATCATCGGTAAGGTCTCCGCGCTGACTCTCGGCGCGAGTCATGAGTTCCATTGATTTCTTCAACACAAGCAAATCTTGTATTTGAAAATTTGACAAACAGTTTGCAAAGCGTTGTGGCGTGCTGGTCACTGTTAAGCAACAAGATATTGATCAGAGTAAATTGGTTCAGATTATTGGTTAATCGCGTGAATATCTACCGCTGCAATAGGCCATGGTTCTGCCTGGCACGTGGGCCTGCAAGAAGCGACTGTTTGTAAACAAATGGCCATGAATGCGATTGGAGTACAATTTGTGCAGCCGTCTTTGTAACGCTTGCCTGAGTAAATTATTTCGACTTTCAAGCTTAAAATCCGACGCCTGTTTTTAGGCTTGGTTGCTCAATTAGAACTCGCCTCGCGGTGGAAATGCGACTGAATATGCTTGTCACAACTGCGGGCCAAACTTGTGTGTAAATCATAAACTGTATCTGTTCAATAGCGTGTCGAATGTTCTTATTTATCTTTACAGACCTGAAGATTTACATCGCATACGCGTTGAGCATATGGAGCGTCAATTGGCCAACCTGACTGGATTGGTCCAGAAGGCTTTAGTCAATCAAAATCCCCAAATTGCGCCAATGACTGTGCCCACATTAGATTCCAACTATCTCGTTGTGCCATCACAAATGCAAGGTAAGTAGTTTTATTTATGATTCTAAGGTAACCCAATCGTGAACTCGAACAATGCTCAAGCAAGTTAAGACTACATTTTTCGGCTCGAGCTCATTGAGTTGCAATCAAAAAATTGACTTGACCAAACATGCGACTCGAACGGGTAGGACTTGATTTGCTTGAATGCTTTCGTCAACCAAACGTTGACACAAAAAAGTATATACTTTTATGTATACAATTGTAACGATTTCTGATTTTTAATCTCTACCTTATACTTTTATTTAGCTAATGGTTCCGCTGATGAACTATATATAAGAGAAAAGGCACCCAAACTGGGAAAGAACTCCTGTCGTAAGTGTTGTCCAACTTTTGCACATACATCAGTGTCCCAGACATGTGCTTTTTTCAGAAAAATCCGTGTCCTTTGAGAAATCTGTTTCATTTAGCGACGATATACAGGGAATACCCAAGTCTCATAGTCCCCTACATGCCGGTAAATAAAAATAAATCCAAGAAATTAATTATCATCAAAATTTTATACATCATTCTTTATTTTTGCTTTTTTGCTTCATTCTTTATTTTCGCTTTTTTGCTTCATTTGGTTTTTGTTGAAACATCACATGAATTGTGTTAAACGATGTTTAATAATCTCAATGGTGTGGACATTGACATTGCATTCCTTGACTTTGTTTTGTTTATATATCATTCAGATATATATCATAAATCACTTAGACAATTGTAGTAAAGTTGATATACCCTTAGAGTAGAACCAAAGACTACTGTTCCAAACTTGTTGCCATTTTATTAACACGCATCCCTATTCAAACAAATAATTCTGCACCGGACCCAAAGCTGATACGAAACCAACAAAGCCAGCAATCAAATCGTCTACCTTGCCACGTACGTCGTCTCAAGGTAAGAGCGCTATAAAAGAAACGAAAGGAATCATTTCTTAAACGCAGGGCTACTTTAAAAGAGTTACAATAATCACGCATGCTTTAAACGAAAATCACTTAAAATATACTTTTTACAACTAATCAAATTCCTAAATGATTTTAATTGCTGTTCGTTCACTTACAATTAAAACAACCCGCAGAGCGCGATCGCCTAAAGCCCCCTCCACCGCCAAAACCCATTGTGTTGGCCCAGTCCTCCCATCCCAGCTACCGCGCGGACATTGCACTCGCACCAGAGGTCTACAATCATTTGCGTGGCCTGCAAAAAAAGGCAAAGGACCTGCGCATGGAAGTGCGAACTTTGAGGCGGTTATCGCAGGCCCAGTCTGTAGCCGTACGGGAAGATATCAAGAGCACCTTTATGCGCATACGTGCCACATTGTTGGCCAGCAGTGGCAACTTTTGGGGGCAAAGCGACCAGGACACCACGCGCATCTCGAGGGAAGAAGAACTATACAAACAGGAGGTCATACGTCTTGAAAAGGATCTAAGTGATTTGGAAGCTTCGGTGGAGAACTTACGCGGCGAGGTAATCAATCGACGCACGCGCGTCAATATGACAGCTGTCGAGGACATGGCACTGGTATTAAGTCGTGCAAGGTATGTACAACAAGTTAATGTTCAAAAATGCAACCAACTCTGATCTTACTACTGGCGTATTATAGCAAAACTGTTGCTGAACTGAAGCTTAAATTTCCGACACTATCAAATGGTTTGCGGTGCATATTATCTAACGAGATGGAGAAGGTGGTACGTGAAGAAAAGTTCCTAAAAGAAGAGCCCGACCGCCTGGAGTCGGCCTTGCGACGCTGCAAAAAGCTTACGGGCACGTTAGTGACACTTAAACGGTTTGTAAATTTCAAAAAGAACACTGCATTGAATGCGTTTCGGATACTTGAAAAATTAATTCGGTCAAACAAGTCAAAAGTCAAATTTTGTAGCTCGACCTACTTGATATTTTGATTCTCTCAAGTTGTCTATCCGAAATGAAAGCAAATTAATTAACCGATGCTAGACTTTACTTTCAAAGATGTTTATTTATTGCTAATATACACTTCCCCGAATAGTTTGGCCAGCGTACAGGAACAACGATTACCACCCAATGAGCCGTCAGTAAATGAAGAGTCCTTACGTTCCGCCGATATTTCGGTGCCTGACAAGGTGAGTCCCTCCATAGATGCCCATTAAAATATATTCTTGAAAAACGAGTACACTAAAATAGTTATTAACAAAACACCTAGGGCTGTACTGCCATTGCTATTTTTACGCATAAAACACCGTACCATACCGTGTCATACATATTAAAATATATATACTAATGTTTAAAAATATTCTTTGTAATTTTTCGATGACAAAAACTAGTTGCTTTTGACCGAAAGAAGTATGCATTGGCCAAGTTTAATTTTTAAAAATGAACTTTTCTTTTGCACACTAGTAACCTTGCTAAATATCGTAAAACCCGCAGACTAAATATATGATCAATTTACATAGAGTATCTAAGAGGTAACTTTGCTTGCGAAATTTGGGATATTTTCGAGATTTCACTTAATACAAACGATGAAACGTAAAACAACATTACCTTTGACTATTGATCGGTCATAAAGTCTGTCTGCAAAACGAAAATCATTGTTAGATGAAAATGAAATTATTTAACAATTCAATTGCTGATTACAATATAATAATACTTTTAATATTATTGTTTGTAAAAGAATAGGTACTCTTGCCTTTGAACTAGGTAAGTGAATATTTACATGAGAAACAAACAAAGCAAATCTAGTAAAAACAAAAATGTGTCATCATATTCAACAATAACTGTTAAACCCTTTTTTAATTACATTTCAATTTGGTAAATGAATTGTATATTTTTTATATACATGCTTACATACACAATAGTATATACAAATATTCATTCATAGTAGATTACTAGGTTAAAATTTCAGCATTAAATCATGTTTATGTTTCAACATATGTATAAATGCTTACAATTTATTAAAAAAGGAAAAATTTAAATACTCATACTTTATTTTCATTAAAATTATTGTCTGTAACCCAATTCATGAAAGGTAAATAGGCCAAATTAACTTTAAAATCAGCAATTGAATGAGTTTCACTTGTGCGTCTCATATCATCCGCATAAGTTGCAAATCTCAAAGAGTTTTTCTGAGGTAATCATTGTAGGAGACTTACACTTAATGTGATTACTCCTCAAGTAAATGTCATGTTTACCTTCAGATATTGCAGTTACGCTAAGTAAAGTGCAAACAACGTAATCTTTTGGAATATTCAAAAAAATATAGTTACCTAATTTGTATGTATATATGAAAGGAATGTGCAACTTATTTTAATCAAATTTCATCTTTAATAGTGCGCATCGACTATAAACGGTTATTTTTGATTGAAATTCGAAACTTTGCAAGGGTTCAATAAGCAAGCTATTTAGTGCTATCTAGTAAATCAATCATAATAATTTATTAACTACTTGGTTTGTATGCTTTATTTTTGTTTTTTGGTTTTTTTTTTTTTAATTATTTTGTGCAGATTACTATAAACAAGTTGCAATTGGCTGTTAATAAGTAGTTTTTTGTTCATACTGCGACACCTTCTTTATGCTTTATTTGATTAGATAGTTAACTCCAAATCCCACAAGTTTTTTTTAAAGGCGAAGTGCAGTTTCGTGCGCCATACCGAAGCTTCACCGATGAGTTTATTTTTAATAAAAGCGAAAAAACGTTTTACGTATTGAACACGCTATTCATATTGATATGATGACAAAACACCAATCAAAGCTAAAAGTCTTATCAAATGAGGTTTACCTAGTGATTTCATTTTCTTCTTCTTGCCTTTTTTGGAACTAACAATTTTGATATCGTATACAACAACAACAACAACCACATAGTTTAACTGGCGATGGAGTTCTAACTTCAAAGAGGCAATTACTGAGTAATGACTGAAAATACAAATATTAAAAAAAAAAAACAAAAAACCAAAACATAAAAACTAAAATTACTAAAAACCATTTTTAAAATGATGAACTCATAAAACTATGTCCATTTTATTTTAGCTAAACATTATTTGCTCCGCATTAAACATAACTAGTTTATATTTTTGTATACTACTTACTACTGCTATAAACTTCTAATTAATACTAAACTCAAAAACCATTTTAAAACTTATATAAAAAGCTACATATAAGCCCGAAACACACACACTTACCAACTGCAATAATCATTAGTTACATATATAATATATAACTTATGTGTATACACATGAATGTGTGTGCGTAATGTGCTTTCCAAAAGGGGTTTGTCCTAGGCAAAACAATACACCTTGAATGTGCGTGTGTGTGTGTGTGTGTGTGTGTGTGTGTGTGTGTGTGTGTGTGTGTGTGTGTGTGTGTGTGTGTGTGTGTGTGTGTGTATGTGTGTGTGTGTGTGTGTGTGTGTGCGTGTGTGTGTGTGTGTGCGTGTGCGTGTGTGTGTGTGCGTGTGTGTGTGTGTGTGTGCGTGCGTGTGTGTGTGTGTGTGTGCACTTCTGGGCTACAATTCCTTTATATATTCATCGCTAAAGGAATTACAAATTACAAATGATATGAACAGCTAAAAATGTTAAAAAAAAGCTACGGATCAAAGTACCTAAATATAATAATAGATCGCCAATTTTGTAGTCAAAATTTATCAAAATCAATGCTTGAACGTAGGCAATGACAGGCAAGCAAAAAAAATAAAGGTAAATGGAATTGACACAAATTTTTTATACATGTTTTGAAAGACTTAACAGCTACAACCTCTGTGGTAGAAATATCGTTTTTATCCCCCCGTTCCATTAAATACTAAATCCCAGATGTCCCTATAAATAAAAATAACACAAATTCAAATGTGCTCCTAAACACCTCCTTGTGTGCTCAAATATTCATATTTTTAATAATTGTTTTCATTGCTTTCGTCTGTGGTCTGCCCGTGCACCCCTCTACACATCTTACTATTTCTATACAGTCTGGATTGTAAAACTATCAACAAAATGATTTGAAAAAACTTATACATATATATTTGCAAACAAAATAAAACAAAAACATTTAAATCTAGGAAGAAGAAGCCCTTGTAGGAATATGACTTAAGGCTTAGGAAATATGCGAGAGGAATAAATAGAAAATATATCCAAAAAATAACAAATATCACAAAAATGACTATAAAAAACCTTATTCCTGATCGCTCCTATATGATGTAGTCATCCAATGCTATTAAAATTTTTCATATGTAAAGAGCATTGTCAAACTAATAAATTCAAGATATCTGGATAACCAAGAAATTCATTTCCGACAGATCTTTCCAAAGGAAGTTATATGATATAATAGTCCGATTCGGCAAATTCCGACGTAAGTTCTGAAAGGAATACTGAAGAATTTAATGACTGAGAGAATAGTTGATACATATCAAGAATATATACCTAATGGACTGGAAGATGTCTTCTTCTATACGTTACGCATTGCTTGTCATAATTATAATACCCGCTATAAGGGGATTAAATATGTTGTATGCTGAGTTATAATTTGCAATATTCCATCTTCAATTTGACTATAGAAATATTATGCTCTGATGTGTATAGGTACAGTGAGCTCTCTATGTATCTCATGTATGGTTTTTTGGTAATTATGTTCCAATATAGGTTTATTTATTTTCATATATTTTAAATCGTAAAAGAGATTACATTATTCAGCCTAAGAAGACCAATGTAGTACGTGTTGTGCTAAAGCTCCTGCTAAGCCAAATGCAGCTATCTTGTTTATTTGTCGGCACCAATGCTTTATGATAAGAAAGTACGTCTTTTGTTTATAAATGCATTGGTTCGGATATTATTATTTACAAACAGTCGATATGTATGTATTAGCTCCGAAATGATTAGTAAATTTCAACAGTAATGTTTTGCTGTTCTTTGACAATTCGAGACGACTTTCATATTCTTTACAAAATACTTACAATCTGTTTCTTCTTCAACTCCTCTGTTGTGTTTTTGTCAATTATTTATGTAAAAATCTCTTTCGCAAAAAGTTTACCATAACTGAAACAAATTCATTAACTTGTGTGCATGCATGTATGTATGTGGGGCTTCTCCAGCCTTCACTTTCTACTTACTCATTAAAAAGATAAAGGATGATGGCAATTCAGATTTTCTTTTTCATCATACATGCATAACGTTTACAGAAACAATTGCAAATATATATATTTTTTTTATTTAAAAGACAACAACAAATAACACTGTTCAATTATTATCATTTTATTATTCCTCTGATGACTGCCGCTGACTTTTCTTAGTAATTGGAATTTATGATTTCGTAGGTGGCCTTAAAAACTAGAATAAAAAATTCCTAAACAAACTGCCTTTGCCTTTCTGATTGGCTAAAATATTAAATTAAAATTGTGCAACTTTTGGAAAGAGTAAGATTCGGTGTTCCGAAGACTTCAAATATGCAAACATATTTATAGAATGTTTATTTGCTTTCAAGAATTTGTTTTCAATATTTATTATTAGCCAAAAGTTAGTAAACAAAAAAAAATATTTATAAGAAAATAATATCTGTATATTAATGTTGTAGTTAAAAAAGAGTATGTCTTTATAAAGATTCGTAACAACTTAAATGTACCTTTGTTTATGCATACACAAATCATTTAAAAGCGTGCAGTCAATATATCATTATCAAAATAACCAAATCAAAACAAATAAAAGGCCAAGTTTTTAAAAATTAATGTATGCAAGCAGTCAGTCACTTATGTTCTCACTCATCGATTGTTGTCTTTGAAGTTTTAACCATCTATTTACCCATCATCGTACACTCAGTCATCGACGCCTTAATATATACATATATTTATTTTTAACTATGATGCTATCTATCCAAAAAAGAAAAAAAAAACAATTTATAAACCTTAAGTCAATACATACTTTAGCTTATTTATTTAATAATATACAATTGATCCTGAACTTACCCAAATATTTAATCGGTGAAGACTTCATTTGGAGCTATGTTTAATATACATCTTACATATTTCATGTCGCTTATGTATTTCTGTTTAACCTCACATAGTCTAATACCACAGATCTTGAACGCTAAGCCCTAATTAACGTCAACCTCCTCCCATTCTAATTTGTTTGAAAACTTTTTAATCACAAATGTAAGAGCTTGTTTTGTTTGATTACGCATACTCTGTGTACTTTATAAATACAATTTGCATACATATTGCTGCATGAAACTGGTCTAATTTCAAACCTTAAAAAATATTCATACATATTTTCAGCCACATCTGTCCGAAGTTATAGATAAACAAAATCCAATTAGCTTATAAAGTTATTGTTTAAAACAAAAAAAAACAGTTTTAATTACAGTATGGAAAGGCTTGGAACACATTTATTTATTTAATTTTTTGCATGACAAGTAAGCTGTAAATTAAACTAAAAACAAAACAATTCGTAACATAAAATCTTAATCGAGCCTAAGTTTTAGTTTGGTCTCTGATTTTGTACCCATTAAACATTGATTTGTATTATTTTTCAAGTAGGTCTCTTAATAACATACTATATACACTTATTTTTGTTGTGAATCCAAGAACGAGGTAATTCTGTAAAGTATTGATGTTATAGATTCTTAGATGTCCTATAATAACTATTGTCCTTGTGCACAGCATGATTCATTTGTATGCAACCTGTAAATTGAGGCACCATGGCTTTGTCATTTTTCTTTTGGCCACTAACTTGATGGGTTTTTAAAAGTTGTACAAAATGTATTTATTTATCAATACTTTACCACATGAAGTATATACATACAATACCTATGTATAAATGTTTTAATCTTCAATTTTCATTCAATTTTCGGCCATAATTTATGCATTCACAATTGTACAATTATATATTTTTGTAGCCAATCCCAACACCCAGGATGGGGTCGTTCACTGTCAGCGGGGGATTCGCACCCGAAAACGCACTCGATGCTCTGCTAGACGAGCTGAAGACATTTTCAAAGCCAATTGCCCAACAACAACAGCAACAACAACAACAAAAACAACAATTCGAGGTAAGTGATTTACGGGACTATTTTAGATTTCGATTCTGATGAAAGATTTTGGAATCATAATGATTTGGTGTTCCTTACATAAATTCTATTCGAATCTACCGTATTCCAAAGTGTTGCCTGAGTAAAAATGATTTCGGTTAACAAACCAATCAACCTGTTTGAAATCGATTTAACCTCAGAATTAAAAGCAGCAAAAGCAAATCGAGTCAAAGTGCATGCGAAATCAAGAATCAAAATCTTAAACAGGCTTGTTAGTTAAACATATTATATATAGATTTATTGACCTCTACCGAGTGTATTGACAAAGGTACGCCCCGAAGAATCGGCATCCGATGAGAGCGCCCAGGCTGCTGTACAGAGTACCGTCACCACGCAAATATCCCAGGCTCGCCTTTTCACTGAATCCAACGTAAATATGCAACAGGCTAACACTAACAGCATGGTCATGGCTGTGGCAACAGGTGCTGCACAACTTTCACGTGGCCCATTGACCCATCAACAGTCCCAGTCCCAGTCCCAGCAGCAGCAGCAGCTAATGGTGCACACCAATATGGGCAGTTTACGTCGCCTGCACTCCTTCCCCAGCGAATCGGACAACGAATTCCCAGCCCCTGGTCCGCGTGACAGTCTCGCTAATGGTGGTGGCAGCAGCATCATCAAACCACCAGTCCCTGAACGTAACGCCGATTTAATAACTAAAGTGGGTCACAAACGCATACCGCCACCACCGCCGCCGCGTACCAGCTCACGCAGTCCACTGGCCAGTCCGACAAGCCCAAATGTGCCACAGAACATAGCTGCCGCAGGTGCTGCCAATAACATTGGTGACAATATCATCAGCATCGAAACTGTCGTTACCGGTGGCGGCGACACCTCCAGTGGCGACAACTCCAGCGGCAATGAGTCCGGCAACGATCATGCCCAGCGCCAGGTTGCACTTGAAATGCGGCACCAGGAACTATTAAAGAAGCAGAAGCTATTGCAGGAGCAATACCAGCGTTTGCAACAAATGAGCAAGATACCCTCGGTGGACATATCCTGCCCGTCACAAGACGCAGCCAGCGGTGGTAACGCGAACGCAATGCTCAAACACTTGGGCAGCGAATCAAATATACAGCAAAAAATCGCCGCATTGAACCTGGCCTGTGAGTTCGGTAGTGGTGGCGATGCTGCGGCGGCTGAGACTACTGTGGGTACAAATGGTGTGTTGATCAGTGATGCTACGGGTGGTGTGGTCGGCGGCGTTGTTGGTGGCGGTGGTGTTGTTGTTGGGACGGTTGGTACAGGAGCTGCTGCTGCTGCTGCAAACACACAATTACAAACAGCTACAATGACCACTAAGCAGGTGTATGAGACGGAAATACTTTAACACAACTGGAAATTGGCATGGAGCGAAACCAAAATTGATATTTAATCTGTTGTAGCGCCCGGTTAATTGAAGCATTATGTGTCTATCTCTGTCACTTGCACGAGTTTCAGCTCTATGCGTATATCACTATCTTTGTCACTCTTGCTAACAGCCGTCATTAACATATGAAGACTTAGACAAGCCTTCGGACTCTGTAATATCATTAATACTTGAATAATACTTGTTAAGAAATGTTAAGAAACTAAACTCGTAATTATACGGGTTAGATCTAAATGTCGTACATACATATATATATAAATTCATATACGTGTATATGCTATTGTATGTATGTACCCATTGCCAAATAAAAATCAAAAACTTTGAAACATGCACCCAACATAGCAGCACATAGCACATATGTATGTATGCACATGAGTACATCTTACATATGTCCCTGTTCAAAAGATTTTGGACAATATCCAAAGTAGAATATAAAAGAACCCTAACGCATGAAATATCTACCTATTATCCATTAGAAATATTTATAACCTGGTTCAGAAAAAAAATAACTGGTCTTTACAGTCTTTTTGGTCGCACACTTAAGGAACAATAAATAGGCAGACCACAATGTCAAAGAAAAACATTACATAATAACATTTTGGTCCTTAAATATTTAGGTTAAAATATTTAGTTACTTGATTTTTTTTTTTTTTGGTATGGGACGTGAGACTGATAGTTCTATATATCTAGGTCATCAAAAAGTAATGAATAATTACTTAAGTAATCAATAGATACGATTATATTTCTTAGAAAATAAAACTAGCTAATTTTATCCCCGACACGGTGTACTCTTTCCAAAATCGACGACACCCAATTCGCAAAAAGCGTTTTCTTGAAAACCAATACTATTAAGGTGCATTACGTTTATGGGAAGAGTCGATTTCTTCGGAATACCGAAAAGAAATGTTATTGCTTAAACCGTACTCCCATTAAATGGGAATATTTATTAATTTGTACGAATGTGCATCTCATTAGAGCCATGTCGGTCCGCCCATTTATTTGTTAGTGCACCTAATCAATGCTATTTTTTTTTAATTATACAAATTATATATTTAGGCACTCAGTTTTTTCCAAGTTGTATATTTAATATATTTCATAGCACAGCTCTTCATAGCTAGTCATTTTTAACTACTTATAAGTTTTTAAATGTTTTTAGCAAATTGAAATGATTTTGATTTATTGATAAAAAGGCACATTTGAAATATAAATTATGTGTACACTGACATACATATGTACATACATACTTACAAACATATATAAAATGTTTTATTATACATTTAGTATAATACACGTACCATAAGGGTATTAGATGTACATATTCATATATACAATTAAAAATTTGTTGCACTTGTACCAGATTTTTATATAAACTTAAAATGCATTTCCCAGTTTTTGGATGTAATTTTACGTATTTATGCCTTTATATGTATATATAAACCGGTTACATGTAACTATTCCTAAATTTTCGTAGTCCACTGGCCCTGCCAATGATACACATTTTTCAGTTAATAAGCATATTTTGTAAAAATCGTTATTTGTATATTTCATAGTTCAGAAAAACATAATTATACAAACAAAATGTTGCTTGGTTTTAACGTAGCTCGACTTTCTAAATCGACCTACGTCAAAATCGACGAATACTGAGTATTTTTTATTATAGTTAAATTACACATCACAATACAAATTAATTAATTGACTTTTTATTCATATATACAAATATAACGAATATAAAAAGATGCGCTCAAAATATTTATACAATATTAATACATATTTTCAATAATGAAAGCACTTTGATTTTAATTTATTTTCACATTTTGACAAATATGTATAGCATACAAAAAAACGTTACGCAACGAAAATACATTCAAAAGAATTGATTACAGCGATAAGTACGAAACTACATATGTGAAAGTATTTAAATACTATAAAGCGGCAAACATAATAATGATAAAACTTATTAAACATATTTTAAAATATAGTTATGCAAAAACACCACAAAATCAATGGTATTGAATGTATGTATGTATGTATACGTAAATGTTTTTCTTATTAGGCACAAACATTTACACAATCAACTGCAAACATGCGTGGCAATACGTCTAGTAACATGGCATAAAGTAGGTACTATAAAGATTAATAACAATAATAAAAATATAAAAAAAAAACTATACAAAATCATCATGCATAGATGTGAACATAAAAAAGCGCATTTTTTTCTTAAAATTATTGTAATACATATTTAAATTGCAAGAAACCACAACAATAAATATCATACGCAAAGTAGCCAGCTGTACTGATTTCAATCGAATTTTTAGAAGGCGTACTTACATGTACATACACAAAAGCGAATCCTGCAAAACCGTACTAAGTAACTAAGACTATACGATTTTGGATATTCATTATTTCTTTATATAGCGCAGTAAATTCTAGATATTTCACGACAATACGCAAATTTACATACAATAATTGACAACAAATATACATAACTTTTCATTATAAGGGGTTATTTAAAAACTAGATAGTAGAAGGCACATTGAAATTGATATCCGTCATAGTGTGTCATGGTGACGTCCAGTCAGGCTATAGGTATATATATATAGGTACATATCGTTTAGATTGTACACAACATTTTATTGCAGCAAATAGATGCAATATAAATAAATCTATGTATATATAGGCATATGTAAGAAGGCACATCAAAATCGATATTCGTTATAGTCGCTCATGGTGAAGTGTCAAGCCGATATGCTATGTCCACGTTCAGTCTGGCTATTTATCGGTTAGTTAATCTAGGACTCGCACAGCCAGTCGCAGGGCAGTTTCGGCATTTTACTTGCTGGCCATGGTAAGTAGCCGGCTGTCTTGAAAACCCAGTAGTCGTAGGAAACCTTTGTGATCAGAGCTAGCAGAAGAATTACCTCCGCTGCTATTAAATAGTATATGTAGTCCGTCCAGTCGGGCGGTGACTGGCACAGCTTTGTTTCCTGCAGCTCAATGACGCTTTGAGGTAAATTGCGGCATCTTATGTCCATGTAGTCGGGTATATCGGTACTGCGTTCCTTAAGCCAGTTTTGCAACGTTTTTGCCGAGTTGCAGTCACATTGCAGTCTGTTCTCAGCCAGATAAATGCGCCGTCCAATGCCCGTATCCATAAGAGCATTGTTCAAAAAATATTCGGGAATCTGGAAGAAAGCAAACAGCAGTATATCCATGTTAAGTAGAAATGGCATCGTTTGCTCACTTTACTTAGGGAGTTGTTCCGCATGTAGAGGCGTTGAAATTGCTCAATGAACTTGGTACCCTCAAATTCGTATATAGAAGATATATGATTATTATCGGCGACCAGTTTTACAATATTGTAATAGGTGGGATTTGTATGGAAATGATCTCCCAGGCTGCTTATTTTGTTGTTGCTTATGTTTAACGTAAACGTGTTGTCCGGTAACTGGGATGGTAGCTCAACCAAGCCAAGGTTAGAACAATCGACATTACACACGGTCCTGGATTGATCGCCCTGTATTATCATGATACTGTATATATTGCAAGAACAGTTGCCATAATTCGGTATACTCGGACACTTGGTACCACATTTCTTGATGCTTTCAAGTTGTTTAACGGAAACCAGATCTGTGGAATTAAACCACTTGTGTGTCGCGTTATACAAACAAAATGAGTGTTCCGGATTAACAATGTTGAATGAGTCGATATAGATGATCTCGCTAAGGGGCTCACAAAGCAAACGCATGTTCCCACTGTAAGATATGATAATATTATAATTATTAAGACAGAATCGAATATGTACAGGAATAATTCTTGTAAGTTGCCCTGTTTGCATTAATCTGGGATCCTGGTGATCGGTAGCTATCAAATACTAGTAAAGTCCTGATAACTAATCTTCCCTACTCAACTTTTTTCAAGATATCTCAAAAATAATCTTAAATACTCTCTACAAATCTAGGACAACCAACACTCACCTAATGTCCAAGGCAATGTTCTTGTTCTGGTTTCGATTTGGCACACGGGAAAGCAGATTGTTCGATATGCCAAGAAATTCTAGGTGGGGCACATCCTTGACAGCCCGTGATGCGATCTCTGAAATGTTATTATTCGATATGTTAAGGCACTTTAGCTTGGAGTGTCGCGGGAAGGCATTCGTCAGTTGCATTATATTTCCATCCGTGACGGCAAGTGACTGCAGCGATCGATATATTGGATTGGAGAGGTTCATAGCCTGCACGGTAAGATTGCGTACATGCAGGTTTGCCCATTTCGATATGTTGCTGCAACTTGAGATCATTGAAATATGCGTAATGTTGCAGCAGTACCAAGAGTTGGCACGCGTCGGATGCTCACGGCACTGACAGCTGTTGGAGTCGCGCTCTCCAGGACTCTGCTGACCGTGAGCCTGTGACAGGCTGCCATTTTGTCCACTGTACGCAGTCATATTATCTGCAGTTATGTTTTCGGCGCCAGTATCTAGCAGAATATCCGCTCGGTCGGGTATGTGTGGATCATCGCCACTAGCGTTGTGGCGGCGCCAGTTGAGGCACAGCTCCTCTTCCGCATAAAAACAATTTCTCAGATATTCGGGCAATTCGGAAGACACTGCGGCTGATGGTGTAGCAGCCGTCGTACTGGTCATCGGTGTTATAGCTGGCAATGAATCTGCGTTGACTGCTTCGTTCACACGATGCAGATTAGGTGCCGATGTGGGCGATGGCGCCGATACCATAGACACCTCTATCGGTTGGGTTACCAACGGGGACTCCGGCTCTGATGAGGTTGCTGCCAGAGACTGCGGCGGCACCGTCACCTGCTGCTCGGGACGCGCGCATGCTAGGGCCAGCAGCATTAACAATAAGACCAGCTGCAAGGACAGGATAAGGGGCGCGAATTTTATTGAAATTGTCTATTGATAGCCACAAAACGGATATTCAAATAATAATACGGCGCTTGGCCCAGCCAGCGGGATGTTTACACAATTAATTAGCGCACATGTAATTCAATAAGAACAAGGCTTGGCCCGCGGTTGCGGCAATTGACTTGAGTGTTGCTGGTGATGTTGCCAGTTCAGCTATTTTCTAGCTTTATTTGGCTACTTACAGTGGCCGTGGGGCAGAAACAGTTAGCGTTTTATAGCATCATATTGGCACATTGTGCTAATAAAGCCAATTCAGCTATGTAAAGCAACACTGGTGATAGACGTAGGCGACTGAATAACGCGCGAGTCGAAGGCGCGCCTCAGACACAGAAGGCTATATCAACAAGTAATTACGTATGTATGTACCTACACATACACATTTATTATGTGATATACACACGAAGTCCGGATAAATGTACGTAAACGTTTATACATGTACTTTTTCCTTATGAGAAAGATGCATAGATAAACACACACATACATACGTACACATGAATATATACAATCTGTTCAGCGTATTTTAGTAACTCTAGTAAATTTCACATGACGCCGGTTTGCTAATTCTTTAATTTATTAACGAATTGCCGCAGATTGAATTATTTCTTTATGTTTATGCGAGAACTAATGGATGTTTGCTAATAAAGCCATATTAACATTAAATCTGCGAGAATTCGCGTATGTATGTATGTACGTACATATATGTTAAAAATATGTATGTATGTACACATTATACAAATAAATATTTTGACGTCGTATTTTTTCGCAATATTTATCCATTACAATATGATCCTCACATTAAAATGATCGATATACAAACAAATAAATATGCCGTGAGTTTTAATCGCTGTTAAATTATATTCTAGAAATGCATTTTATGTGCATGCAACTGCAAATAAAGCTTAAAGTACACATAAAAGTTGACATATACTAGCAAACATAAATATACATGCATATATGACTGTCAGTACATATGTGGGTACACTTGAACATATTGCGTATGCGCGATTGACTTACAACTTTACAATCAACCATTGCCTTTGTTGAAGCGCGACGACAACTGCGATTTGATAAATCAGCATTTGTATGTTTTAAAAACAAAACATGATCATACTATTGACATTTTTAATCTCTTATATTGTTTGCATATGCTAAAAACTACAACACTACAGAACAAATTTCAGTCATATCAGTCAGTGGTTTTTTATGTTAAAAAGCAAATTGATACATTTGTTAACATAAATTTAGTAATATACAGTTTAATCCGAAATATTGAACAAAATCAAGAAACAGCGTATGTTATCGACAACAATACGCACGCAACAGTGTTTTAAGGCTGCCAGCAAGAAGTAAGCGCGATTTTCATGTACTAAAATACTAAACATGGTAATATAATCTAGAAATGCAGTATTTTTCGGCATTTTTGTGTGTGTTAAAATACTAAATTTCTTTTCGCAATGACATCATATTTTAATTGGTATCATTAGAGATGTTAGAATCTCGATGACACTATCGTATATGTGTTTTTAATATTCTGGGAATGAGTAATGCTGCGTTGTTTTTTTTATAAATATTAAAACTATCGGTTTTGCCCACACCATATATCGGTCTCTTTCTGTAAAAAGGTCTTTTTGCAGGAATAGCAATATAATAACTGTTCCTTGTGCCATGACGCGACATCAGATGTTATTTGAGGAAATATCGCGTAATATTAATAAATCGCAAGCAACAATAGCAATAACCAACAATAACGGAGCCGAAGAAGTACGCAGATTTTTTAAGCCATACATACATCTGTGCCAAACCAAAACTATTTCATCACCTTTTATTTTAACAGGAATAGAAAATAGATAATCAAAATGCCGATTGATACGCGTGAGCTAATGGAAGCTATTGCAATTGTTGCTGATGAGCAGAATATACGTGTAGCTGTGAAACAATCTGCAAAGGGCACAGCGATCTGTGCTGCCTGCTGTTTTGCAGGTGGCCTACTGATGGGTCCAGTGGGCCTAGCTGTTGGTGGCGCTGCGGGAGGAATTGCCGCTTACAAAGTGACCTGTGGTGAGTGTGTTGATCACGACTCGTGCTGCACTTTATTAATTGGTTTTGTTAACAGGCACATTTAAGCCGCTGGGAGAGGTAATATTAAACGATTTGACAGACATGCAGCGCGAGCAGCTAGTGCAGCATGTGACAAAAGCCGTCGCCGAGGTACACCCCACAGACTTGGTAATGCTGCTTCCGTTGATAACGCAGAACGCCTCCGTTCAACAGGCTGTGCTCAGTACAATTATGTCGTTTGTTACCAATGAACTGCGCATGCAAATTGTTGACTGATAAGCTGATAAGTGAATGCGTCCTGGTCCAATTACCGATTTTACTGATGTACATACGCAAATGCAATTTTAATAATAATTGCCTTAGATACTATATATATATATATATATATATAAATATATAACTGAAAAATATTTGCCCTCACATGGAACTTTGATGTACGCACAGCCTGAACCGTAAAGCAGTATTGCCATTTTATCTGCCTGCAGTTGGCACGAATAACAACAAATTTCGGCACCACTTGCATTTTTAACATTGGAACCAGAATCGTGCGATTCGGGTAGTTTATTCTAGTATATACATGTATACGTTGCAATAATTAAGGCTCTGCTATTCCCACTCGACGTTCACCTGATCCCAATCGTCGAAAAAAGGCTGGTCTATGGTCTCAATCAACAGGCCACAGTAGAGGCAATCGGACGCAAGTATTTCCTCGATTTCTGTTTTGAGATCAACGCGTTTCACTTGTTGCTCGGGTGTGTGATTGGTCGAGCCTATTGTTTGTGCCATTAAAGTTTCCATTTGTTGCTTCAGCATTGTAAGTCGGCGACTGCGTTCCTTATTGATCATTGGTAAAACCTGTTTTTCTAGGCAGTCGCTATGGAACTTATGCCCACAAATAAACACAAAAAACGGCTTTACCAGCAGTATAAGATCACAGATGTCGCACACGTCCTGTGCCTCCATTCGAATGCTGTGTTGTTTCAGTTGACGCAGTTCCTTGCACACAAGTTGCGACTGCTTCCTTGTTTCAGCCATGTCCTTCTGCAGGACCTGTATGCGCTCGTTGTATTTCTGCAAGGAGGGAACATGGAATTAATATATATGATTTGCTGTATACGTCAAGCTTACCTTTAGAGCATCACAAATAGCCTCTTTAAAATTGTCGATCTTCTCAAAATCTGAAAAGAATGGCAGCAGATCCTCAATCCGCAACAACTCGCTTTCATTTAGCAGGCTCAGGGCCTTTTTTACATCGTTCGTACCCTTAATTTCATGGTAGGCTACAAGATTATTAAAAACCATGGATAATTTTATTGGGGTTGTCACGCCTGCAATAAATATATTTACCTATGCGTAACCACAGTTTGCGGCGCGTCTCACTGTCCTGTGGCCTTAATGCCGTCTCTTTGGCTAACTTCATATCGAATTGTAGCGCCAAGTCGACAGCAGTTGTCCACATGCACAGCATACACTGCAGGAACACACAGGCCACCTTCACATCCAATTCAGTGCAGACCTTCAATGCGAAGTGAATGTCGTAATTAACCAATGTCTCATCCCGGCCCTGTATCTCCAGGTATTTCATTAGCTGCTTTGTATCGTATTGCGCATATAGATGCAGGAGGAAATTATGTATGGCATCGTTTGAGGTATTTAACTTATAGACGGCAAACTCGAGATAGCGTATGACCTGCTCCCGCTGTTCCTGCGTATCTATTATAATAAGGGTGGGCACTACTTTCTCAATGTCTAATTTCGAGCCTTGTGCCATCAGGGCATCGATCGTTTGCTTTGGCAGCCGTTTCATCAGCTGAGGAGCATACTTGTAGTAGAGCGTCAGATCTCGCTGCTTACACAGCGTTTGCAGCGCTTCAGCATGCCTTTCTGCTTTCAGCTGTTGTCCGATCACCTCCTCGTAGTCGTCTATAGAGATTGCGAATTGCGTTAAGTTGTGCGGATCCGCATGCTCTGCAATGAGCTGTCGCACAGCAAGGCGCTGCTCATTTGTGCATGCCAAAACAGATGGCTCACTCATGAACTCATCGTACTCCGCTTGCCATTCTTGGCGCAAGGATTCGTCGTTGCCGGGCGTGTTAATTTGCGTTAGATAGAGATCGATCAACCAGATGATTAGGGCCTTGATGGCATCAGCTTGATGTTCGGCCCGTTCTTCCACATTCATCATGGTCAGCTTAGTGAGTCGCTTTTTAACGTAGTTAACTATTGGTCTTTTATCGGGCAGCACCATGAATTTTAAGCACACCTTTTCAAATGTTTCATTGGTTTCTGCATAATAATTTGCGGCCGCCTCATAAGCGCCTTCTTTAAATGCGGCCTCGGCACGCTGCGCCAATACCAGCTGTAGATTCTCGGGCACTCCGGCGGCATGCGCCGTTGCCAGTTCGTATTGGCCCCTATTTAAATATATACGCCATATGTTTCGCTCCTCGTGGGTGATTTTTAGCGTAAAGACCGCTTTGTCTGTATAAACATATACGGCACCTGTCACAAGGTCCCGTTCCATATTTAAAAGCTTCCCAACTCTGGCCTCATCGAATGATTCATGGTAGACTAACTCCTGGTTAAGCAAACATATGGCTTTTATGTAGTCCGCGTAAAGTAGCACGGCATGATACTCCGTCAGCACGAAGGATTTGGGCACATGTATACGGCGCTCGTCATAAGACAAATGTTTGCCTTTTTCCAAATCCAAATTGATTAACGTGTCGCCCATCAGCGGTTCACTACTCTTAGGATCTATTGAAAGCTATAATCAGGAACGAACAGTATTTAATAATAACTGTAGATACCTTATGGAAATATGTAACGCATATAAAAGTATGTATATTTTTTATCAAATGTTGTAGTCATGTCTGTCTGTCTATAAGTATGTTTTTAGGAATCTTTTTTAGTCGTAAAATCTTGTTGTATGTCCGTCACAGGCAGTACATATGTCGGAACTCGCCAGATCGGGTTAATATTTTACTATCTGACCAGCCTTAATATCTCATTAATAACAAAATAATATATAACAAAATAATATAATTACATAGCTCAGAGGAATGGTCGGTCGAAAAATAAGTTTTCGAATGAAAAAGTGTTGGTTTGCACAATATCTAGAGCAAACTCAGCAATTACTATCGCTCTTACATATGTACAAAACTGAGAGCCACATGATTATATGGGCTCTTAATCTTCGGATTACCGATGATAGCCGTTTTTCTATTGGATATAGCGATTGTATGACAGTAGCACTTACCTCACCAATGCGTATGCCAGCGCCGCACAGCCAGGCCCATTGTTTTGGATACTTGCTATTGGGAGGAGCAAAAAACCGAAGCGTTGAGTAACTCAAATCGGTTTTTTGTTGTTTTTGGGACAGCTCCCGCTCGCCATTTACATAGCTCGCAAATATGGGCTGCAGGGAACGTTCTTCTGGCTTTAGCGTTTCGTAGAATGTGTAAATACTGTCCGGTGTGTTGGCAACAACTATCCAACGATTGCTATTAGGCACACGCAGCACCTCCAGCCCATTAATGGGATATTTGCTGAGACCCAGACCCAGGTCGTAGAGCTGTTTTTTCTGCGTATCGCTAGCTGGTCCCAGTTCTGTCTCAAAGATGAGCCCGCGACTGGTGCCCATTAGTATATAGCCTGTCGTGGATTTGTCACCGTGGTATGTGTTAAAAGCAACCGATGTGATTTCGTGATCTTTTAGCTTCTCAATTCGACGCACTTTAAGCTGTTGTCCTTGGGGCGATTCCGTACTGTGTATGTAGAGAAAATCGGACGAGACACCTGGTGATTTGGGCACTAATGAAACAATGAGGTGATGGCCGGTAGTATCAAGAAAAATATTTGTAATTTTATAGCCAGCGAGATATTTTTCTAAAGCAGTTTCTGTAAGCAAGTGCAGAATCATTATTTTTAAGATACGTAATCGATATAAAACGGCTAAGCTCACGGCCTGGTGGAATTGCGCGAGGTAGAAAGAATCGCAGCAGTGTCAACCGCCCTTCTGCTGATAGTAAACAAAACAGCCAGTTGTTTGCGACGATCAAATGCATCAAGTCCCCGCTGCAGTTGCTGGGTATATTAAGTGTCATCCTGCGCTTACTGAATATTTCTTCATCTTCTGCCTCATCAAATGGGTTTCCGCCGGCAGTGGCAACGTAAGTATTGGAGCTCTTTTCGATACGGGGCAAGAATTTTGGCTGCGACGTCTTCGCCTGTGCCATTTTCACTTTGTTGATCTGGTTTGTAAAATCTTCGATAAAAGGCTTCGCTATGGGTTTGTTTTTAATCTTTGTCTAACTGTTACTTATTTTCCAATAAACGCCCTATTTCGTGTGACCGATGAAAATGTGCAAAAAAATACCAAAAAAGATTAGGCTTCGACTTTACGTAAATATACTAAGCTGTTTTTTTTTGTTTGAACAGAAATTCGAACGAGTTCAAATAATCATGTACTTACATTGTTTATATAATTAAAAAATAAACAAGATTCATGTACCTCTCAATAGTATGCAAGCTAACCCAATCAGACTTTTTATTTAAAAACGCCTGATTATAATGTGTATTTAAATAATTTGCAAATTAATCTCTTTGTTTTCGACCTTTTTCCTACAAAACATTCGTTTTCTGTAAGCCAGATGCGTTTATTTATCAATTGCGAATGCTTTTGACCTAGGACGGCCTCTAATTGAAAGCGACTCATTCGCCGTCGATATCCTTGATTGTTAGTTAGGACGAACTGCGAAGAAGTAATCAGTTATCAAATTTATGATATGAATAAAGATCGGAATCAGTGTTGCCAACTGTCACTTCAAAAAATAAGCCGAATCTAATAATAATATATATATAGTATAATAAAAGTTAACTAAGAATTTAAATTGCCAATAATCAAAATTTCTTTAAAAAGGACAAACTTAATAAACGATTCTCACTGGCTAACCTTTTGAAAATAGACAAATTCAGCTCGAAAATAGCTGAATTGGCAACACTAGTTGAAATATCAGGACTTACAGCTACATCGTGCATCCGCTGCAGTTGACGCATACCATCGTGTACTTCCATCAGGAGTTCTGTGCGATCGGAGACGTTATTTACCATACGAATTGCAAACGATATTGAATCAACTATGATCAGTTTTATCTGCAAGGGTAAAAAAGGTTTTCTTTAGCAAGCTTATTTACTAATAGACGAGCATTCGCTGGTGTGCGTGCATTGGGCTCCTTCTCTAGGTACTTATGGCAATTCAATAAGCCAGCCAAAAGTTGAGCAGTATTGCGGCAGTCTATATAATACACATTCTGCAGCATTTGGGCTGCTGTGAGTGCTGATTTAGATGTGCATCTGAGACGCGCAGCAAGGTCTTCGGCCAACTCTGTATGCATGAAATAGGGTAGATTAAAAATTTGATCAATGGCTGTAAAACACCTTATCACAAACCTTTTAGTCTAGCTGGATTAAAATCCTTACGGGTATCAAAATATAATGCCTTGCCCGCTAAACCACAAGCATACCTGGGTATTTGAACATTTAAGCAGAGCTTCATACTAGAATATCGATTGCTTAGTGCATGTTTTAAATAAAGCATTTGTTGTTACTTGCCATAATTGGGTCTTTCCTGTACCTGGTTTGCCGACCAATTCGTATACTTTGCCTGGTCTAATGCCACCTCGCAGACATTTATCGAGCGGTGTTATGTCAGTTGTAATCGTCGGAGATTTTTCGTCCTTGAGAGTTTTTGCAGTTTTAAATTCCATTGAGATTTGCGTTTAATAAACGCGTTTCAGCATCGGCCATATCTTTGAGTTCTCTGGTGTGCTATCAAGATTAACAGCAAATATCGATAAGTTATCAGCTGTTCTGCAAACTACCTACACATACATTTACTTATGATCAAGCGAAGCGCTACATTTTAAATGCTTGTTAACAGAGTTCGGTGATTAATATTGAATGTCTCTGTAATTAATAATTGCAATTCGTGGGGTAAATGTTTTTTTAGGTTTTTTAAATTAGGTTTTTAAAAAAGTGTTCCTCGTAAGAGCCAGGAAGCTGAAATTGTCACAGTAGCTACCGTATATGATGAAGGTGCACGTTAAGCTGAGTTTCGAGAAATTCCATCAACATGAGAGGAAAAATTGCGAAAAACATTTTTATGAAGCTTTTTTGGTTACCATTCTATTGGCCTCAAAATCATTTTAAAAGATCATTGTTTAAATTAATCTGATGAATGTTTCACCCTTTTTGATAAATGCATTCCTCCTTGGTGGAAAGGGCGATCAAAGATTTGGTGGATGATGTTTCGTGCTCAAACTCATTTCCTAAGATCTATATGAGAAATTACTTGAGACGTGCTTCACATTTTTCGTAAAAAATTAAAGCTTCCTCAGTGGGAAGTGCAATTCTAAGATATTTTTTGCTGATGTAAATTTTGTCCGATTTGCTTCAAAGTTATTTTCAAAGCTCTACATAATACTGATCATTTTTTGGAATATATTGGCCAAATAATGTCCGATTTTTTTTTGCGGTCTCTTAAGGAGCCGTACTATCGATTGGCATCAAAGATCGACCAAAAGCCACTTTTTTTTTAAATCGGAGTCGGTTCAAAAATCGGCACTTGCTGATGATTTATTTGAATATCTCCGGGAAATATTGTTTGATTTTGAAATGTTATACCTTTTTAAATTCGGACGGATCCCTACTATCAATTGGCATACAAAAAAAAAAAAAAAAAATTGATGGGTTAAAAAAAGTGGTTGACCAAAAACTGATTCGATGACTTGGCCTTGTGCCGTTCAGTGCTGACTGGTACGTCAGAAATTCTACCTTGCAAAATGGAGACTATGAAAAGCCAAAGCATTCGCCAACCGATGCAACGAACGCTTGCAGCGACACTGCAATCGGGTAGCAAATGACCTCTCTGGGAGGTGTGTAGTCAGGAGGCTCAAGAGAAGATCCTTTAATGATCTCCTTCAACCACGACACAGGAGACGCTCCAGAGCACACCGACTACCTACGTGACGATGCAGCCGTTTTTAAAGACGCTTTTGACGTTTGTCCACATTAAAGCCTGAGGACCCAACAAGGCATGGCGAAATATCACCTTAGTCAACTGTGTTATAATAAAAATGTATGCTACTTTTGATTCAATACAATAAACAATTATAAAACAAGAGGCTCAAGTCGAGAGCTCCCGACTAGGGGATACCCTGAACCGTCTTCTTTCAACATCAAATGCATATATATATTCTATTTTAGATGCTATATGTCAAGTTTGGTGAGTCTTATTATTTACCATAATTGCCCCAAAAAACATGATATCGATATCGATTTTTATCGATTGCTTGGAAACGGAGTAAGTTATCGATTATCGGAAGCAAACTCGATCTGCGCAGGCACTAGGAGGACCTACATCTAAAATTTCAAATCTCTAGCTCTTATAGGTTCTGAGATCCTTGCGTTCATACATACGAACGGACGGACGGACAGACAGACGGGCATGGCTAGATCGACTCGGCTATTGATGCTGATCAAGAAGGGTCGGAGAAGCTTCCTTCTGCCTGTTACATACATTTGGATTTTGCACAAATACAATATACCCTTATACCCATTTTTGATGGGTTCAGGGTATAATCATCGAAAAAGTTTCGATTTTCGCACCGACCTCTATTTTGAAAATAAAGCGTGATTTTGTCGATTTGGGTCAAAGTTTTGGATTTCCTTTTTTTGATGCCAATCGATAGAACTGATCCTTACGAGTCAAAAATGGTATGAAATTGCAAAATCGGACATTATTTGATGGAAATATTCCATAAAATCATCAAAAAGGTTGAATTTACGAAAGAATCGGTTTTTTATCAACAACATTTTTTAACCCATCGATGATAAATTTGTTTGAATGCCAATTGATGATAGGGATCCGTACGCATTCAAAAAGGTATAACATTTCAAAATCAGACATTATTTACCCGAGATATTAAAAAAAAATCATCAAAAAAGTTTCGATTTTCGCACCGACCTCGATTTTGAAAAAAAACGTGATGATTTGGAAGGTCATAACTCCGCGCGGAGATATGACGTTCCAAAACGACATAGCTCCGCGCGGAGATCTGAAACGACCCTTGCCATTTTGGTCGATTTGGGTCAAAATTTAGATTTTCATTGTTTTGATGCCACAGATTTTTAATTTGCTTGAATGCCAATTGATAGTAGGGATCCGAACAAATTCAAAAAGGTATAATATTTGAAAATCAGACGTTATTTACCCGAGATATTCAAAAAAATCATCAAACAAGTTTTGATTTTCGAACCGACCCCGATTTTGATAAAAAACGTGATGTAACCGCTTGCCATTTTGGTCGATTTGGGTCAAAATTTAGATTTTCATTGTTTTGATGCCAGTCGATAGTACTGATCCTTACGGGCCCAAAATGGTATAAAATTCCGCAATCGGACATTATTTGGCCCAGATACTCAAAAAAATCATCAAGAAGGAGTGACTTTACAAACGAATCGTTTTTGGGTCCACAACTTTTTTTAACCCACCGATTTGTAATTTGTTTGAATGTCAATTGATAGTTGGGATCCGTACAAATTCAAAAAGGTATAATATTTGAAAATCAGACGTTATTTACCCGAGATATTCAACAAAATCATCAAAAAAGTTTTGATTTTCGAACCGACCCCGATTTTGATAAAAAACGTGATGTAACCCCTTGCCATTTTGGTCGATTTGGGTCAAAATTTAGGTTTTCATTGGTTTGATGCCAGTCGATAGTACTGATCCGTACGAGTCCAAAATGGTATAAAATTCCGCAATCGGACATTATTTGGCCCAGATACTCAAAAAAATCATCAAGAAGGAGTGACTTTACAAACGAATCGTTTTTGGGTCCACAACTTTTTTTAACCCACCGATTTTTAATTTGTTTGAATGTCAATTGATAGTTGGGATCCGTACAAATTCAAAAAGGTATAATTTTTGAAAATCAGACGTTATTTACCCGAGATATTAAAAAAAAATCATCAAAAAAGTTTTGATTTTCGAACCGACCCCGATTTTGATAAAAAACGTGATGTAACCCCTTGCCATTTTGGTCGATTTGGGTCAAAATTTAGATTTTAATTGTTTTGATGCCAGTCGATAGTACTGATCCTTACGAGTCCAAAATGGTATAAAATTCCGCAATCGGACATTATTTGGCCCAGATACTCAAAAAAATCATCAAGAAGGAGTAACTTTACAAACGAATCGTTTTTGGGTCTACAACTTTTTTCAACCCACCGATTTTAAATTTGTTTGAATGTCAATTGATAGTTGGGATCCGTACAAATTCAAAAAGGTATAATATTTGAAAATCAGACGTTATTTACCCGAGATATTCAAAAAAATCATCAAAAAAGTTTTGATTTTTGAACCGATCCCGATTTTGATAAAAAACGTGATGTAACCCCTTGCCATTTTGGTCGATTTGGGTCAAAATTTAGATTTTCATTGTTTTGATGCCAGTCGATAGTACTGATCCTTACGGGCCCAAAATGGTATAAAATTCCGCAATCGGACATTATTTGGCCCAGATACTCAAAAAAATCATCAAGAAGGAGTAACTTTACAAACGAATCGTTTTTGGGTCTACAACTTTTTTCAACCCACCGATTTTAAATTTGTTTGAATGTCAATTGATAGTTGGGATCCGTACAAATTCAAAAAGGTATAATATTTGAAAATCAGACGTTATTTACCCGAGATATTAAAAAAAAATCATAAAAAAAGTTTTGATTTTTGAACCGATCCCGATTTTGATAAAAAACGTGATGTAACCCCTTGCCATTTTGGTCGATTTGGGTCAAAATTTAGATTTTCATTGTTTTGATGCCAGTCGATAGTACTGATCCTTACGAGTCCAAAATGGTATAAAATTCCACAATCGGACATTATTTGCCCCCAGATACTCAAAAAAATCATCAAGAAGGAGTGACTTTACAAACGAATCGTTTTTGGGTCCACAACTTTTTTTAACCCACCGGTTTTTAATTTGTTTAAATGTCAATTGATAGTTGGGATCCGTACAAATTTAAAAAGGTATAATTTTTGAAAATCAGACGTTATTTACCCGAGATATTCAAAAAAAATCATCAAAAAAGTTTTGATTTTCGAACCGACCCCGATTTTGATAAAAAACGTAATGTAACCCCTTGCCATTTTGGTCGATTTGGGTCAAAATTTAGATGTTCATTGTTTTGATGCCAGTCGATAGTACTGATCCTTACGAGTCCAAAATGGTATAAAATTCCACAATCGGACATTATTTGGCCCAGATACTCAAAAAAATCATCAAGGAGTGACTTTACAAACGAATCGTTTTTGGGTCCACAACTTTTTTTAACCCACCGATTTTAAATTTGTTTGAATGTCAATTGATAGTTGGGATCCGTACAAATTCAAAAAGGTATAATATTTGAAAATCAGACGTTATTTACCCGAGATATTAAAAAAAAATCATAAAAAAAGTTTTGATTTTTGAACCGATCCCGATTTTGATAAAAAACGTGATGTAACCCCTTGCCATTTTGGTCGATTTGGGTCAAAATTTAGGTTTTCATTGTTTTGATGCCAGTCGATAGTACTGATCCTTACGAGTCCAAAATGGTATAAAATTCCGCAATCGGACATTATTTGGCCCAGATACTCAAAAAAATCATCAAGAAGGAGTGACTTTACAAACGAATCGTTTTTGGGTCCACAACTTTTTTTAACCCACCGATTTTTAATTTGTTTGAATGTCAATTGATAGTTGGGATCCGTA